CCAGCCCAAAGGACAAGCTTCTTCAACCTTCAGCCATCCCTGTTCTAAAAAACGCGCGCTTCTTTGCCTTGTTCAAACATCCTGATTCTTTGAGTTTTAGCACAAACTTATAACATAAAAAATGTCAAGCATCAAGCCACGAATCCATACATACCAAGAACTTGATCTAACTCTCAGAAATGAGAGAGAATTTCTTCTCCCCCAATTCCTTACCTAATTTTTTCCTAATGTTCAGATTCTAAATTCTCTTAACACACACAATATAAATGAAAAGTGAGGATACAGGTAGCTTCAGGGCCATGAATAGAACATAACTTCTTCACAAACTTAAGCCTAAATATGCTTGGATAGAGAGATAGAAGTTCAAGAACTTACCTGTTCAGCTTGATTCGTGTATGACAATGGAGGTACTTTCAGTGCAATGTGAGGACTTGTACATCTTGCTTTAAGTTCAGGGATGCTTCTCCAATGCTTGGTGTGCTTTGAATCTTGCTATATCAAGCTACAGAAGTCAACCTGCAAGAGAGAAAAGTGAAAATGGCAAATGATGGTAGGGATGTTACAGTTCGTGTCCAATGCTTGAGATAGTTTGTATAGGTGGTAGGGAATGTGTTTGAACTGGTTTTGGCCAAGGTGCACGAAAGGATTGAGTTGTAGACCTCAATCTGCAGCAGGTGCCCTGTTTTGCCATAAAACTGTGTTTTTGTGTATATGGAGGTTTGAGAGATGGTTTGGTCGTGTTTTAGGTCTGTTAGGGAGTATGGAAAGTGTTGAGAAAGTTTGTTTAGGCTTCTCTTAACAGGAACTCAATGTTGGACCTCTTTTGCAAAGTTGCTTCTTTGATAAGTAAGGAAGTGTGTATGGATAATGCAGGCCTGTACTACTCTCCATCTATGCTGCACATTTGAGTCTTGATCAGTGTGATTAGTTCCTGAACTTGTGCCCAAAGATATGGCTTGTACCTCTTAGATTGTAAACTTGACATAAAGCCATGCTTTACAAGAATGGATAAAGTGCTTTTTCTAATTATGGACTAATCCTTCATGTAATGACCAAATGAGCAAAATAATGCTAGAACACAATGGATTGGCATTTAATTATTGAGTGTAAATGAGATTAGAGGCCTGTAATGTAGCTTGCACATGCTGATTTCAAAAATGCCCAAGTTATGAACATGCATTTGGCCATGAATCAAAGTGACTTTTTCCCATATTGACAAATTTGATTCTCCCTAACCACAAGGGTGTTTGAGAAGTTCTTGGACATTTTGGAAAGCTTGGAATGTGTAATACAATCCATCTTAGTAATGCAAGTTGAGATTCCAAGTGGAAGTATGTGAAAAGTGGTCATGAAGTTAGGCAAAAATCCTGCCTAAAATAGGTCAAAATATTTCTAAGTTAAGAATGTTTTGCACCCCTATTCCAAAAATCATAACTTGAGCTACAAGCTTCTTTTGAGGAAACTTTGTGTATCAAAGTTGTAGATTTTGCAATGGACTACAACTTTCATGTTTTGAGTTTTCCTTGAATCCAAATGCATCTTGATGAAAAAATGGGACAAAGTTAGGAAAAAATAAGGAAGTTTCATAACTTAGAAAAATTCTAAGTTATGAAATTTCTTCATTTCAAACCCTAATTTGTGATTTTTGATTTCTTGATGAACAAGTTTCATAATTTGACATGTCTTGATGAAAAATGAATCTTGACACTTGATTTTGACCAAAAAGTCAAAGTTTGACTTTTCAGTATACAGTCAAATTTTGCTCAGTTGACTAGAAAATTCATCTGTCAATCTTGTGCATTTGGGATCTTTTGAATTTGTTGAACATGTCAAGACAATGCCATTGAGATCTTGAGTCCATATGTGAGCTTGGTTTGCCATTGGTTAGGTCAAACAGTCAAAAATTGCCTTTGTGCAGTCAAAACCCTAAAAATGACCATTTTGCCCTTTTGGTGATCTGGTCAGATTTCTTGTGGAATTATGATCCAAACTTGATCAAATGGTCCATATGAGTTCATAATGTTGATGTGGGTCAAAAATCATGAGGTTTGACTGTCAATTGACCACAATTGACTTTTTCCCCAATACAACTGATTTCTAGGTCAACTGTCCAATTGACTGGGCAAAGATTGGAATCAAGGCTTGAAACTTGGTATGGATAAACTTGTGAGTCCAACATGAAGCATGAAAGTTACTTTGGGACTTTTAGGTCAAAACATCTTTGTGAAAACTCAAACCCTAATTTGGGTCAACAGTGCAAGGAGAAGTCTTGAGCAGAGCAAACCCTAACTGGATATTGAGCTCCAAGGGTCTTGTGGTGAGAAAAATGTTGAGGAAATGGGAGGGCAAATTTTGGGGTACAACATTAGTCTCTTCCTAGAGACCTCGTCCATACGTATCGGGCTATCAACCTTCATCTTCTTTTATATGACACAAGCACAAGGGAGACCATATGTTTTCACAATTGTGCAACCATACTTTGAGCTATCAGAACCTACATTAGAAGTTTGTTTGGCCTCACACAAAATATAATCCAAAGTTTCCCGGGATATGTTACCAACCAACTGAGAATATAGCGTGTTGTCTTTGAACCCGTGTTCCAACACTGTGATACTACAACTAAATATTGTATGTATCTCATTATGTTGGTTCGGTAGCATCTGGTTCACAGATTCCCAACCCGTAATCAAACCACCTTTGATATTTCCCAGCCAATTCTTCAGACATGCATGTGTATATTCAACTCGGTTTGTTTTTATATTAACGAGGTGCATAACCTGATCGGTCAAGGCACAAACAACCTTCTCCTTAACTTGATCAAGAACTGTGCTTTCAACATATTTCAATAGATCAGGATATTTCTCGCAAACATTCATGAATTGTAAAACAACATCAACGTATAGTTCTTTTATAGATGCATTTATTATAATATTCCACACATCCATAATTTTCTCCATAATGACGTATGCCTTGACCAATTTTCCATCTTCACCTGCAACATGTTTTGTCCCCCACCACAAGTTTAACCCGACTTCTCACATTTTTAGTAATATGGTACCTACAAAGTAATGCGTAAGAAGTGAGAAATACAATTGAAACTGAATTCATTAATGTTGTATCTCGGTCGATAACAATGACTTTCAGTATATCTTTTTTATCCTTCAACATTGACCTACAAACCTCTAAGGCCCATGCAAAGTTGTCCTCTTTTTCGCACTCTAGAAATACAAAACCAACAGAATACTTCTTCTCAGTCGATGTAACACAAAAAATTTCCAACAATGGAAGCATGTTCTTTTTAGTCTTATACGTAAAATCAATTATGAGCACAGTGGGAAACATATTACACAATTTAATGGAATCAGGATGAGTCCAATACATATCTCTTATTTTTACCCCATCATCACCTCATCGGTGCCTATAAACATGATTTTTTTTATCTAGAAGTTTCAAGAGGTATTGCATCTCGGTTCGATCCTCCCTAAGCGCTATTTTGGTTTGATATCGCTTATTGTAAACTTGTTTAATATTTGATGTGTTCTTGGGTATTTTGCGCTTCAAGGTTGCAAGTATATTTTTTGGCGGTAACAAATTCAAAGTCATATCAGAAACACATGTCTTCTCATTCAGAAGGATCTGACATGCAATTGGATGACCAACTAACTTTTTACTTAAATCATGATTGTGTAAACCGCATAGCACATTAATTTCCATTTCTTATTTTCCATTAGATAACCACGCAATCTAAATAGACATTCACATTTTCTTGAACCGATGTCACCGCGTTTCAAATTTTGGATACAACGTATGTATTTCCCACTTCTTTCGCATGTCAAAATCACAAAGGCATTTCTTCTATCTATACCATTATCGGACCTTTCAATCACAACACTAAATCCTAGTTTCGTAGCCTCTATACGAAACCACTGCAACATGTCTTCACATAATTCAAATTCTTCTACATTTTCAAATTACTCACGAACATCTACCACCTTAATTACGAGAGGCGAAACAACTTGAGACACATCGGGTTTGAAAATGTTATCGAGGTGCATCATACCTAGTGTTAGATAAAACACAACTTTTGGTTCTGTTCAATTAACTACTGGAAATATACATACGGTCTGTACGTGACCTTTTTCTACAGAAAACAACATATTAATGCAGGGAATGTGGGTTAAAATGAATAAACTTTACTTGAAATTCTACTTCCTTGAGCTCTTTCTGACATGATGAACAAAAAAAAATGATGATTTAGAGTGGAAAATCGATTGAGAATGATGAGGGTTTTTGAGAGGTTTTAAGGAAAGAAAGAAGAAATGGTGGTGATCAAACATGACCATACTGGTTACTGTTTTAAGTAACATGTATCGTCCATAAAATCGGAATTATACTTCCGATTATATATAAAATGTCAAGGTGACAACAAAATTCAAAATTCCCGCTAATAGAACTTGAAAAAAAATTCCGATTTAGAACCAGAAATATATCTCTAGTACCGTTTTTTGCATTTTAAATAATAAAATCACATTTAATCTATTTTATATAAAATATGATGCGAACCGAAAATATGTTTCCAATTTTCCAAAGAACATTTTCAAAATTGTATAAAACATCCCTTTTCTATATGAAGTGGAGTAAAAAATTCTCTTACACTTAACTAACTCCAACCATAGTCAGCCAACTTTATGGCCCATTATTTTCTTTTTGTCGGGGGTAAGGACCACCTAACTTTATATATGTACATAACTCAACTTCCCTGAGTCAAAATATTATATATAAATTTGAACTTACATTGACGGGTTGGTTTGAATATCAGCTATATCTATTAGTTATTATCTAGCTTATACTTTGAAAAACTACAAAAAAACAAATTGAACTCAATAGCCACTTCTTATATCCTCCATCTCAAAATCCTTCTTAATCATGGTATGCATCTCTTTTCCTTTTGTTATTTTTTAACCCAATTCATTAATTATAGATAATGATTTTTTCTCTAAATGTGCTTGTTTATGCAGTCTCTTACAGTTTTGATGTTTAGATCAATGGTGAGGTTTCTAACATCATTAATTAGTGAGCCTTCCACTTCAATCCCAACATTACTATACTATAGTGGTCTTTTGCCTCACAATGTTGTTCTATTGAGAATGGTTCGACATGAGTTGCTTCATCAAGAAAACTACCTCTTCCATTTTCTTATTAGCTTAATGAGTTGCTTTTGGTGAATTAGTTGTGCCAATTTTATAATCGTTTTTAATCTGCACTTAGTGGATTTTTGTTTACATTGGTGAATCAGAATACCACTAACACAATGTAAATCCACATAATTATTCTACTACATGCAAGATTATTATTTATGGCAACCATGTTTTGAACAGAAAGAGACAGACCCTTAACAACACAATACTCCTCCAACACAAGATCTCATAAATGAGATTTTTCGACGCCAAGTGCTCACGACGACTAAATCAGAAAATTAAACTTTTTATTTAAATCATCTACTATAAATATAAAGGGTATGAGTAAAAAAAACACAAAATATTCAAAGTAATTCTCCTACTTTTTCATTATCTTAACACATCTATTGACATAATAAACTTGCTCCAAGGCAATTCTCTTAGTACATCTAACTAATTTTCTTGATTTATAATCTATTTTCTTGAGTATACATGTAGCGTAACTCTATGATGTTAATCATGTTTATTTATGGTTTTAAAGCGCGAGTATGATTTGTATTGTTGAAATTATTATGTTGTTGAGTATAATTTATATTATTGTAATTATTATAGAATTTGGAGTATTATTTATATTATTGAGATAATTTTAGATGAGATAGTTGTTTGTTTTGTTGAGGGTAATTGGAGATTAGGATTTAGGTAAATTAAACCTATTATATATATGATTTGTAACATTGTAATTCTAATTAATTTATAAGACAAAAATAAAGGGAACTATGACTATTTTATTGTTGCAGAGGTAGTGATGTAAGAGGGTTGGCTGCGCGTATTATAAAAGAAGTCACGTGGCAAAACAGTTCGACAAGATTTACGCATGTTTGGTGTCCGTTGTTAGAATGTTGGGTGTGTTGAAAACAATATTTTACTATTTTTCACAATTTCAACCATTTCTGTTTTATTTGTTTTATTTATTTAATTCTATTTTGGATTAAAGCCCCATAAGGCCCATTAGAGTTTATTTGTTTTCTGTATTTAAAGACCTTTAGCGTGACCATAAGGATTATCTTTTCATTATAATAAAATTCAGAGTTTTCTTTTCTCTTTCTGGTGGGCTCCAGAGCTTATTTGACAGATTTTGTGCTTGAAACCATGTGTTTTTGTTCTAGGTTTAAGGATTGCTAATCCTCAAGGTTTCTGATTGCGTCAGGTAAGCACCATTGATTGAAACTACGTTAAGAAAGATTGGTCATGTTCATTGCCTTTTGTTTTCATTTATTGTTGTTATAACAATTGGAATCAAATGACAAGTAGCCCTGGTGAGAAATTAGAAATAACCAGGTTTTTACATGACATGTAATTTTGGATTATGGCAAATAAAGGATAAGCATTTGTTAGCTTAGCAATATTTACAAAAGGTGCTACTGAGACGAGAACAAACGACATAGGGATACTGATTATGCAGAGATGAAGTAGAAAGTCGAATGATTGATTCTCCTATGTGTTTCAGGCAAGGTGATATATCATATCCTAGATCTGGTGACTCTGAAGGAGGTTTGAGTTAAATGGGAAAGTCGGTATTTGTCAAAGGTGTTGATGGAAAAATTCTTCATGAAGCAACGACTATACAATCTGAAGATGCATGAAGAATCTGATTTGAAACAACATGTCAATGTCTTCAAAAACATATTCATCTATCTGGCGAGGCTTGAAGTGAAGATTGATGATGAAGATAAGACAATTATCTTATTTTGCACGTTACCAAGTTTTTATAACCACTTGGTGACTACTCTTACCTACATAAAAGACATTATCATTCTTGATGTGATTACTGCTATGCTTTTGTCTCATTCTCAAAGGAGACAAAGTGTAAAGGAAAGAACTCAAGGTAACAGTTTGTATGTGAAATGGGGGTCAAGATCGTTGGAGGAATAATGGAATGGAGGTTTTGGAAAAAAACAGAGGTCTAAATCCAGGACTCGTAAAATAATTAAGTGTTATAGATGCAAACAGATTGACCATTGGAAGAGGGTGATCGGTAAAATAGAAAGTGTACTATTTTGCCTTGCAGTAATAAGAGGGAATTTCCCCTAAATATCGATATCGAGAACCACGTATAATACCGAGTTTAATGCATGGTTCAATAAAAGAATAACTTAACGTTTGCTTTGGTTTTGGATTTAAAATTAACAATTATGAAAATAAACAAAATATAAATTATGACTTTTTTACTAGTATGAATACTATACTAGGGGCAAGTGTGTGATTTACCCTGTAATGACCATGAATATTGATCTCTTCAACCAGTTCATAACCTTCAACTACCAGATCTTTAGGTTGTTTCCCCCTAAGTCCTCAAGGGGAAAACCTTTGGTCAACCATCCTAATATCTAAGTCCTTAGAAAATTACGATGCTACAAAGCCTTCAATATTATCAAGATTTCACCGGTAACTATATGGTATCCCTAGTCCTAGGTGATATCTAATTTAGTTTAATCGTATAAAAAAACCTTAACAACGACAGTCCATCCCTAATTTGTTAATGGTAGATCAATCCTAATTGGTCCGATTAGGAAAGCATTAGAAACATTAAACGATTAAATTGAAAGGAAACTACTGGATTAAAAATCAATAATTCATAGTCATTACACTATAAAACAAGGACACCCCCTAACATTGGGGGATTTAGCCGCACATAATATTCATAGAAATTACAATAAGAATGTTAGACATTACAAGATAATTGGATTCTGTTGATCTTCAACCACAATTGCTCTTGAAAAATCTTCGTTCTCTGTATCCCTTGAAAGCTCTAATTTTTATCGTAGAATTCTTCTAATGTCCAAAACTTTTCCCTCTAGGTCGTCAAAACTCCCTCAAATAAAAATCTTCGGTTCCCCGTCCGAAAAGTCCAAAATTCCCTTCCGAGTCACACTTAGGGAAATATAAACAAAATCAGAAATCATTAGCACTCAGACCAACACGGCCCGTGTCAGGTGACACGGGTGGCAGTGATGGTCACTAATCAACATTCAAAAACTTCAACTCCTAGGATAGCTGACACGGTCTGTGTCACTTGACACGGGAGCTCGTGTTAAGAATCTGGTTTTTTTCCTTTGATTCTTTCCTCTTCCTGACACAGCCCATGTCAGACTTGCTGTAACTTGCTGAAAACTTCTTTACAACTCCCGGTTTCTTGGCTCTTCTTGTCTTGAGTCCCTTGGATCTTTCACCTGTACCTGAAACAACAACAACAACCAATCAAAGCATAAAATAGGAAATAACTTGAAATAAACTTACGAAAACATAAAATGAGAAAATCTTAAGAAATATGAAATCATTCAAAGAGAAGTAAAATATGACACAAAATGATGCAAAATACCTGGATTATCATCATACAAGTAACAAAAACATGATGATAGTGGTGACCAATTACAACCCCAAACTTAGCTCGTTGCTTGTCCTCAAGCTATGTTCAGGACAAATAGAATCGGACACCCCAAACTATTAACTTACCACAATACCAACTCGATCTTTCGCGACTCTCTTTTCAATTCCCTTTCAATGTTTCCTTCTTCCCTGACTTTTGATGTTCCACTACACTTCCACATTAGGGTATCTCTTTACCTGTCAGCTTTTTACACTCTCACCAAATCTCTCGGGTTAAAGTGTTTACACTCAATAATTAAAGCTTTCAAAGTCAAGTCATAAGTTTGAATAACATTTATCTTTATATCATACAAACACTACACAAACTTTTTAAGGGATTTTACGGTTGTAACGAGGCTTAGTGACAAGGTGGGATAAACAAAAGGGAAAACAAATGGTTTTTGGCTCAGAGTCAATGTTGCTACTTTCATCACTGTGTCATTTACACTTTTCATAATCACTAGTATCAGACATCATTCTCTTAGGATTCTTTATTTCCTACTCAAGTGTTTCTTTGAGCATTGCTTTCTTTTCAAACTAAATCCTCCTCTAGGTAAGTGCCTTATTCTATTTCTCATTTCTTATCTCTTTTTTTTTTCTTTCAATTTTTATCTTTCTTTTTACTGCACTTATCTTTATTTTGTTTCTAACTATTTACGGTGTCCCAACCCCAAACTTAAGATGTTTCATATCTGAAATCAACAACACTTATCTAATCAGGGCGAGGGAGTGTTTGGGCTCATGGTTAAATTATGTGGTTAACAAACAAAAAAAAGGGAACAAGGCTCGAGTGGGGTTAACGAAGGATAACATGAAATGGTTGGATGGAAAGGCTCAGGGTTAAAAACAAACAAGTGCCTCAGTGTGTATACGTGTGCATAGAAATTATAACAAATACTTACGCAAACTAAGAGTGACAATTACATACCTGAAGAAATCTCATGATGATATTGTGTTTAGCTTTTTATGGTCCTCACCATGTTTGGTATAGCTCACAGGTTCCAAAATACCTCTTGTGTAATGTAGCATCACCTCAGTCTCGGGTGCACAGTACTCTTGTATCAGTCCAGTGTCGGAAAGTCGCATCCAATTATTCACCTAAGCAGTACCAACTTCCGGGGATCATTTACAATGAGAAAAGTAAATAGAGTGATCTTTTATCCACTATCACCAATTCTCATCACCTATCTAGATACAATAGCATTATCCTACACTAAATGACTCAACAACAGATCCATGATAACAAAAACCAAAAATGCAAAAAGAAATAAAATACTCAACCAAACTTAACAAAAAGCAATAAATAAATGCAATAACTAAACCCCCCACACCTGAACTAAAAATTGGCCTCAATGTTTTAGAATAACAAGTGGAAACTCACAGTTCTCACTGAGGAGGAGGAGGAGGAGGTGGAACAAGAGAAAACCAAAAAATGTCAAAGTCCTCTAGCCTCATACAGGTCATGTACGGTGACACAGTCGACCATGTTATACATCTGAGATGCCAGAAATTGTTATTTTCACGCAGTGCCTTCAGGAAGATTGACACGGTCCATGTTTCCTAACACGGATGACCGTTTCAAGAAGATGATTTTGACAATTTCTCACCAAAATATTTCTACTTCAGTGAGCCTGACACGGTCTGTGTTACCTAACATGGGTGGCCGTGTCAGGGATTTGATTTTCTGAAAAAATTTCTCTGTACACTCCCTTGTTGTGTGTTTGACTCCTTTGCAAGACATTATGATTCTCTGTACACTCCCACGAAGCGCTTCGTTTAACGTCGCATGGCTCGACGGTTCATCCCCTTATGGGGGGGTACTTCCTCTTCCACATCTTGTTGCTTGTCCTTTCCGCAACCCAGAACTCATTTAAATCAAAAGTATCAACCCCTTTGTGCTTCCAACCGCTTCCAACTTCCATCTTCTCAGGTCGGTGTTCCTTCTTCTTTCTCTTCTTGCCTTCTTTACTGAGCTTAGAAATTTGTATTAATGCCACCTGAGAGATTACGCCCAAAACTTCTTCTGAGAGTGATTTTGAAATTTTGCTTTCTCATTCTACTTTGATCATACCAACTGAAGATTGTTTCTTTCCACATGCACCCTGCTTCTTAATCTCCAATACTTTCAAGGTTATCTCTTTATCAAAAGATTTTATTGTCAAATTACATGTCTCTATATCAAAATTGCACCAACTCGTCAGTAGAAATGGTCGACCAATAATGATAGAAGTCTCTTGATCTTCAGGGATATTCATGATCTGGAAATCAACGGGAAAGACAAAGTTGTCAATTTCCACCAATACATCTTCCACTATCTCGTATGAATGCTTGATAATGTGATCAAAAAATTTTAACTTTGTCTAACTCCCGCTTATCTTTTCAATACCAAGCTTTTTGAAAATAGACAAGGGCATCAAACTCACACTAGAACTAGAATCAATTATAACCCTCTTGAATTTTTTGTCTTTTATGGTGCACAATATTGCAACAAGTCTAGGATCCTTCAGCTTGATAGGAATTTTTTTCTCTGGTGTGATTGCACACAATTTCTCATCAACGAGTACTTGTTCCTCTTATATTGGTCTCTTTTTTGAGATTACCTCTTTCATGAATTTCTAGTACAAGGGCATTTTCTCGAGTGCTTCAAAGAACGATATGTTGATCTCTAGCATTTTAAACAATTTAACAAATTTATGAAACTCTTTCTCTTCCGTGTCCTTCTTTTTCACTCGAGATGGATACGATAACTTGATCGCTGGTTTAGATTTATCTTCAATTGGCTTCAAAAATGATACCACTTCTTCCTATTTTTTCTTGTTCTCTCTCACTTCCAGATCTACTTTTATGATACTATCATCAAACCTTACCTCATCTTTCTTTTCTTCAGTATCTTTCTCATTCCTTGTTGTGACATCATTAACATTCTCCAAAATTTTGATTGCAGCTGTGGCATTCATATGATTACTCTTTGTCTCTTCTTGAAATTGAGAGGTGTGGGAAGCCATCTTTTCAATATCCACCTCCCACTCTACCTTCTGAGGATCTTGTTGTTGCTGATCCTTCTAAGATAAGTTAGGATGATTTTTCCATCCAGGATTATAGGTGTTAGAATATGAGTTATTTTTCTTCAAGAATTTTATCTCCTCAATTTGTTGTGGAGTTGCAAGACATTGTACAATAATGTGTGGTCCACTACAAGTTTCACAAACAACCTTCTGTACCCGTTGAACCTGGGCTACCAGTTGAGTACCCATGTTCATTGCTTTCAGCTTTTTCTCAACTTATAAAGCAATTACTTCTTCAATTTTCAGTTGCTTATTAATTTCAAACTTCAGATCAATCACCTTCTCTGGTTTACTCACAACCTTGTATTATAGCTCCAGATGCTCATTTGCAGCAATGACTTCAATAATCTTCTTCACACTTGTGGCTATTGTAAAGTTAGATGAGCCACCGACTGTTGTATCAATAAGCTGCTTCGTCTTCATTCAGAGTTCATTCACAAA